ACAACAAAATTTTTCTATTGGCTTACTTTTATACATCTTTTGTTCAATGCAGGTTTCCTAACCTAGCCTTCATACTACTTATCTTTAGGTGTTTTTAACTGATTGAGCCTGTGCTTAAACTGAAACTTAGTCTACTCTCTTTCTGCATACATGAGATTCGTCTTCATGCCTACTACATGCGTCACTATCTCTAACTCACATATACTTCTTATTGTGGTACTTAAAAGCGTCAATGTGGGTCAGAGTAAGCCAGCATTTTTATGAAGGTTTTCATTTATATCAGCTGTAATCGGTTATTTTCTGAACTTTCTTTCTAAATGGAATAAAAGCATCTTCCCGTTCAAGTTCATGTGTTATTTTCGAAGAGTTTCGTTTTGAGTCTTCATAAAACTGGATCTTGATCTACTTATTCATTCATTACTTGAAAAAATTATAATGCTGAAATCAAATTGAATAAGGCAGATGTTGATCGACTTATGCTTTTCTATGCCAATTTTCCTATTCATAATTTTACCCCTTAAAATTTTTGCGTCACTAACATTTCACTTGCTATTAAAAAATTATTAAGAATTATTCAATCGTTAGGAACAATTTTATATTTTATTTTTTCTAATATACCTCAATGCTTTGTATGATTTCTGTATGTATGTGCACTATACTCTATCAACAAATCAAAGCGGGAGCTTAAAATCGTGTTTATTTTATTTGCATCTTCTTTTTTATTTAGGACCTTGCGACTCCTTTGTATATCTCAGCCCAAATGGGACATACAAGGGCTGTTAAGCTACTGGTGCGATCAGGTGCTTGTGTAGACACTCCAAGAGAAGTGAGTATCATTTACAATTTTTATTTTCTAGAAATCATTCATTATTTTTAGGTTCATTGTGGATATTTTTTGTTTATATCTCAATTACATCTCAATTTAGTTTCAGAGCTGTCCGGCTTATCCTATTTGCAAACCTTACTGGCAGGCATCAAAACCCAAATGCTAAAAAAATCCAAGAGATAGTTGTTAGTTTTTGTTTTTGTTTCATTTTCACTTAGTCATTCACAAGCTCATTGTATCACCAGGACTCCTTTCTTTGCTTACATAGTCTGGAAATGGGATGAATTCCACTACTTAATTAATGATTACATTCTTCTGATGCCACAACTGAACTATAAAATTGATGCCCTTTTTTATAATCCTCTATCTTATCATACATACTTTCCTTGTCCATCTTATCCCACGCTTGACCTTAAGGACGGAGCAACTCCGCTCTTCACAGCTGCACAAAAGGGGCATATCGGTGTCGTTCAGGCCTTGTTGGCTGCCGGGGCAACAGTTGGGCTTTTGGGAAACGGCGAGACAGCTTTGCATGCTGCTGTGCTCTTTGGTCGGACGCGTATCAGCCACCTATTGTTGTTACGTGGAGCTGATCCGATGGCACCAAACAAGGTAGCACATTTTTTTCGATCTCGTTTATATCTTTAAATGTTTTAAAAGTAAAACGTATTTGTGACATTCTATCATTTGTTGTCAGCTTAGCCTAGATCCCTCCTCCAGAATCTACTGGGTTTGGGTGATCTCAAAGATAAAAGGCTTGAAGGTGAGGTTTTTGTCAACAAGTAGAATTTGCATGAATTCGTCCCCGTGATCTAATGTGAAAATTTAGTTGAAAATAGTTCGTAATTTGTCTCTTTTTATGAATGCATGAATCGTCAAATAAGGATCGACAATCAGTGACACCGATACTATTGTTTGTCAATTGATCGAACTCATAGAAGCTAGAAGCATGTTTGAGAAAAAATTTCACAAGATAATTTATCTATGGAGTGGTATACTGTAACCCTAAATTTATCGTATAACCATGATTTCACTTTGGCTATTGTTAAAATAGGATTGAAAAAACTTATGGGTTTCTTCACAGCCAATTTTTACAAATTGATTTAAATGCTTACGCTGCGTTTAAGAATTTCCTTGGTAAAAAATGAGTATTCTACCTATTGATGCTAAATTAAATATTTTCTTCGAATTTTTCCCTTAAACACGACTAAATTGAAAAACTGAGCTCAGATCAAATGTATACGACACAGACATCGATGGAACCCTGTGAAACTATTTTGATTATCACCTTTGTGAATTGTTTAGCTTTATTTTTAGGTATATTAATTAATTAATTTGTTCATATATTTATTTACAAATGCGGGCTAAAGTATGTAAATATAGGATAATTTTGTCAGTTCTTTTTCGCTTCAATCTAAGTCCTTAGAATCGCGTGAATGTGTGCTTGTGTTTGTATGTGAGTTTGTGTTAGAATTTGTAAGATTTTAAATCAAAGTATGAAATGCCAGTCATAACGTACATCTGGTTGAGGAGATGAGCTGTGAGTCTGTACGTGTGTAATCTAAGCTACAAAACCATCAGTCATAACTCATCAGATCGTGGCCATCAAGGCTCAATTATCTAAGAAAGATTATTATTGGTATTCCCGAACGTCTGATTTGGCTAATGAGCTTTGCAGAAGTGTTCACGAGTGTGAATGTGGTTAGAACCAGTTTAATCACCTTTTTTGGTCAGTAAGTCACCACCCTCCCCTTAAGTCTATCAATGAGAAATAAGAGATTTTTAGTGTTAGTTCGACCTATGGCAGATGACGCAGGACTGGGTACGTTCCACATGGTCCCTCTGGCGGTACGACTAAGTTGCAAAAACATGGTCAAACCAACACTATAAGGCTAAAGGCGACTGCGACCAAACAGAACGATACACCATCTTGGCCTTCATATCTACGATAAGCCAATTTTATTCTTCTTTCCACCTCTATTATACATTAAACTTCTTCACTAATCTCTTGATTTGAATAGCCTCTCTTATCTTATGTTTAGTAGCAGACGCAATAAAATCAGCAAACTAATGTATTTGAGACCATCCCATCTCGTGTTCAGCCACTTTAGACAGCAAGCATTTTTATGTACTGTTAATCTTTAGAAACAACAATGCTATCTCATGATATTCTTCGAAATTCTATCGCTTTTTGTACATGTAATTTTTATAACTTAAAAAAATCCTAGAAGTGGATTGTCCTCGTTTTTGCAACTTAACCCCGGTTTAAAAATCCCTTTCGCTTGATACTCTTGATCCTCTTCACCTAGATAGCCACTGAACGAAATGCATTTTAAGGGAAACCCTTGATTTGTGTGAAGGTGAGAAAAAATTAGATTTGTAAAATTTATTTTTACGGTATACTAGTGCTCAGCTAGCCAACTTGTTGTGGATTGACTTTCATCCCCTTAGTGGATTCCTATATAAGCCGAATTTTCAATCTCATTCATGGGACTTCCGTTGTCACTTTCGTCTTTTTGAGTGTTCCCTTTGTCCTATCCTTTTATTATTCTTTGTGTTATTAGTTTACTTGATTTTTTAAATTCACCTATTCATGGTTTGTAAAGGGTTTATTTTGGTTTGCCTTTTTGGAACACGAATGAGGATTGTTTCTGACATGTACGAGCATCAAGTGATTTTAATTTTTTGACATTTATATTTTCGATTTCTTTCTTTTACGGCTCCTTCCAATTTTCTGTCTGTATCTCTTTTTCTCAATCTTTTTGCCATTTTATTTTATCTAGGATGGTCTAACTAGTCTGAGGCTCGCTAATGACGCGCACTACTCGGATTTGACTGTTGTTCTTGCCCATTTCGCTGGACCTGTTGCCTCCAGTCAGGCTGGCATTGATATCGACGATGCTTCAGGTATCGGTGCGCGACGCCGGAGACCTTTAACTGCAGCAGCAGCTGCTGCGCGTACTCTACAACGATACGGTTGCGTACCCGTCACTGGACAGGTGAGGTGTCGACCTGCACAGCGTAACACTGGCCGATCCCGCTTGCCGGCAGGAACTTCCACAACCTTGTCAGGTTTATGGCGAAAAGGGGGAATTGCGGCACCATATAGCGGTTAGTAATGCAAATTTCTTTAAAATTTTTTAAAAATTACATTGCATTATCTATATCAATCTAATGCACCAGGAATCCCTAAAATTC